AGCAGCTAGGGTGCTTGCATTGCATGTGTCTGACCTGGGATTGATCCTTGGTACCTTACATGGTTCCCCAAACACCACCAGCAGTGATTGCTGAGTACAGAGATAGGAGTAAGTACTGATTATCGCCAGGTATGACCCAAAAATAATTAAAAAAAAAATTTTTAGGGGGCTGGAGCAATAGCACAGCGGGTAGGGTGTTTGCCTTGCACGCAGCCGACCGGGGTTCAATTCCCAGCATCCCATATGGTCCCCTGAGCACTGCCGGGGTAATTCCTGGGCGCAGAGCCAGGAGTAGCCCCTGTGCATCACCGGGTGTGACCCAAAAAGCAAAAAAAAAAAAATTTTAAAAGTGAATACACATAGAAAGATTGTTGGGTATTATCATATATTTCCTAGACATTAAGTTTTAGTGACCTCAGGGGCTGGAGTAGGTATAGCAGGTAGGGCACTAGGCATGTATGAGATCAGGGTTTGATTCCTGGCATTCCATATGTACTCTGGGGCCCACTAGGAGTGACTCCTGAGTGTAGATCCAGGAGTAAATCCTGAGCACCACTGGGTGTGACCCATACCTCCCCTAACCACCCGCCCTGTGCCCTTTACCCCACCCCTGGTATAAACAGTTATAGTGACATCAGTCTTAACAGCTGTTTCTCTTTAGGAATATTCAACTGCACTGGTGCATGTGTGAAGAAGTCAATTTAATTTACTGGTTAAGACTCTTGCCAGGGAAGTGTGATGATACAAAGAATGGTGAAGGAATGACAATAAAAACATACAATAAAACTTCAACTGGATGAATAGGGGAAATATAGACCAAAACAAAAAACAAAAACAAACAAAAAAAAAACAGTGACGGACATGCAGCACAACAGTGGTATCTTGGTAAAGATTGCCAAATTACAAGTTCTTAAGAGAGTAAGACAGAAAAAAGGGGGGTGAAATTGGAGGCAGAATCCTTGAAAATGAAACTTCAGAGACAAAATTTTGGTAATGAAAAACTGAAATAAGTAGCTGAGGAGGTATGGAATATAATCATTTAGTAGAGAATGTGAGCATTAAATGGATTTTATACACATGGATATTGAAATCACCTAGAATTATAATCTGGGCATTTCATAAGAAATAAAAGTAGGAGCTAAAATTTAGTTAATAACTAAAATTTTCACAAAATGACAGGAAATGGCTGAGGAGTCAATAAATGATAATCATAAATGAGAGGAGTAAATGATATGTAAAAATGAGAATCAAAATTAGGGGTTAAATAAGAGGGAAATAGTTGAGAAGTAGAATTAGTTGTGAATAGGGCATGTCCTTATCTCCAGATTAGGATAAGTACCATGGGTGAGAAGACACTAACCACTTGAGAGAACTATAGGGAAAGCAGTGTCCTAGGAGAAGTAAAAAGAAAAAAAAAACAGCAATAAATGCCCAGTGCCCAAAAGAGAGTTGTGGACACAAGGGGTGCCTTTCCTGATGACTGACTGTAAGTTTCTAGAAGGTAAAGAAAGGGGAAGTGTTTTAGGAGCAGACAGAGAGGGTAAAAAAACAGATGACAGAATTATATGGAAAATAAGCCTGAGAACTGACAATTTACCCCGTATAATTCTTGGAGTAGGTTTGTTGAAGTAGTAGAAAAATTGAACTCGGTAGATATGAACATTAATCCAAATGATCTCAAGGCAAAAAATGTTGACAACGCAGTGAGTAATGGGATGAAGGACCAGGGAGTAAATCTGACCAGAAATCAAAGACCTAGAACTCCCTTCCCTTTTTTTTTCTGGGTGAGAGTAATGTGCAGGACCAAAGGGGAGTGTAGATTATTTATTCTCAGAACAGAGAAATTCTTCCAAAGACTGATATGAGCCAATGGTTTCTGATACAATCATGTGTAAAATATCTTGCAATCTTCAAGAGTTTCCCCAGTAAGAATTCATAATAATAAAAGCTACTTATTAGGAACTGTTATTTTATACACAGTTGTATTTTATTCTTCACAACAACCCCAAGAGCATTTCTGGATTAGGTGATCATTATTATATAATTAGTGCCATCAATCAATTAATATTAAGTTATTATTTAAATAATGTTATTTAATTATCAATTAAATAATTAACATTTATGGCATTATCTATACCATTTTTAGATGAAAAACTAAGATTATAGAGATTATAATATCTCACAGGTTAAATAAGCTGCTAAGAAAGTTTTGATAGACCCCAAACCTTAAGTAAAATCTAAAATAGCAGAATTTCATGTAAAATTTATTTACTTTCATAAAGGTAAAATTTCTCTTTTCCTTTACCTCCAAGAAAAACAAATGTTACTCTGTAAAGACTTGATAGCCCCTTCTCCAGCCAAATGAATTCAATAAAGCAAAACTTTTTATGACAGATCAGTACACTGAAGAGAAAATGTTATTCTCTATACATACATACTTATATTTGATATGTAAATAAAAAAGCCTACCTCCACAGAGAATTGTATAGATTGAAGGAATGCAATCAATGGAAGACAGGTGCAGCAGTGTATATGGAGAATCATCAAGAAGTTAGCTCATGAACCAAGTAAGCTACAAAAATCGAAGGCAAAGAAAATGAAAGAAACAGAAGTTTTCACTTTTAACATCCCAAGCTTATAGAATGAAGTAATAGACAGTACCAGAATTTTAAAATTAAACAGATGCATTATAGAGAAAAATACTAGCATTACTTGTAAATTTTCACAAAAGTATTACTCCCAAATTGAAATAAAGCAAAATGTTTTAGTTGACAAAGAAATAATTCTGGTTAGTAGCACTGTTGCACTGTCCTCCTGTTCTTTATCGATTTGTTCGAGCAGGCACCTGGTTAGTAAAGACCTATTAAAAATAACCTACTAAACTAAGGTATTAAACTATCACAACAAAATAAAAATAATTAGGGGGAAACCACTTCCAGCCTGCTTCATCCTGGTGGCATTTAGGAGCTGCCTCACTAGGGCAATAGCTGGTGGTTCTCTGATGTCCATGTTGTGCCACAGATTGACTGAAGGGCTCACACACGCGCGCATGTGTGAGTGTGTGTGTGTATGTGTGTGTGTGTGTGTGTGTGTGTATGTATGTATATATGCAAGGCATGTACTTCATCACTGTCACATTCCTGACCCCTAGGTAATTGAGAAGATAGTTTTAAGTGGTGGTCTGAAGCGTGAAGCGTGTGTCTAGACCCTGAGCATATATACACAAGGTCCTGAGTTCTATCTGAGCCTGCATGGCCTCCCAAGCACTTGCCGCCTGGATGTGACCCCTATAAAACTAAGGAACTATAGAGAGAAGAGTTAGAATTTAGAACTATGTTCTGCACAGTTTTAACATACTCAAGAGATATCTTTGAGCCATTTCGGCCAAAATAAACCTATTTTTACCATCATATATTAATTCTGCTTCAAAGCATGAAAATTATAAGACCAGAGAGAATACTATGAATTCACCCATATAAAGATTAGACTAGTACAGGGCTGGAGTGATAGTACAACTGGTAGGTCATGCCTTCATGTGGCAGACCCAGATTCAATCCCCAGCACTCCGTATGGTACCCCAAGCCCTGCCGGGAATTATTTTGCAAGCAGAAGCAGAAGTAAGGCCTGAGTACTGCCAAGTGTGGGCTTCCAAAACAAAGAAAAACAAATTAAAAAAATGAAAAGGAATGAATTAAACAGGTAGGACCAAAGATAGTACAAGATGGGGAGGAGGAGCAGGTAAAGTACATGCCTTGCATACAGCTGAAACCAATTTTATCCCAGGCACTTCATGGCGCCCTGGACATCTAAGGGTATAGTCCTGCGGCTCCCCTCACTGCCAGGCGAGGTCCTGGAGGCCTATAGGGCTGGAGTGGCTCAACAGGAACCACCAGTCACTTGGCTGAGAAGTGCCAGAAGACCCCATGGCCCCCTAAGCACTACTTTGGAGGCACCCCTTCACGTACCCCACAAATGAAAGAATTAGACTCATGATTCTGATATCACAACTGCCTTAATCCAAAACCAGAAGATATTAACAGAGTTTTAAAAAGGGGTGATCATAGAATAGAATATCATAGAATATTTGTTAACACCAAAAAGAAAACCTTAAAGGCAGTTGTACAATTCACAAGTTGTTATTTACTAACATAAAAAGGATTTATTCACTACAGTTAAATTATATAACAAAGTTCCATATAGAAAAACATACATATATGTATATATATTCATATTTATAATTGCAATTATCTTTGTCACTTATGAAAAATCACCTTATTCCACACCTGAAGTAAAAGCACAAAATTACTACCCAACTAACTCTGAAATTTAGTAACTTAACCTCTTACATTCCTGATTCTAACCTTTTCTCTGTCTGACAGACCAGGGAAACAGTGGAAAGAGAAAGCAGTAACAGGCTGGGGAAGGTATTTTCTATCTTTCTTTTTTTTTTTTGCTTTTTTGGGTCACACCTAGCGATGCACAGGGGTTACTCCTGGTTCATGCACTAAGGAATTACTCCTGGTCGTGCTTGGGGGACCATATGGGATGCTGGGAATCAAACCCGGGTTGGCCGCATGCAAGGCAAATGCCCTACCCGCTGTGCTATCACTCCAGCCCCAGGAAAGGTATTTTCTTTAAGGTGTTTTCTTGAGAAAGTACCAGAGCAGAAATACAATCAGAATGTATACCCCATAACACAAAGTTTGAACCCTTGTAACACCTTTCAGATGCTTCTCATTGTCTATTCGAACTCAGAAAATGATGCTGTACACTGTAGAGAGAGGCAACAGTAAGAAAGCTAGTTTCCTCCCTAACTCTCTTTGGATCTTCCCTTATAGGCCTGGGTCTACTACCCCAGCCTTTTGAAATTCTCCATATTAATAATTCTATGAATAATAATGTATAGTCACTGGAAATTAAACTTGACACATCCAGATCTATAAATGGATATAAATTTAGGGGCCACTCCATCAGATGAATCAGAATAAAATTTTACTCACCTGTTTGAATACACATATTAAGAAGGAGATGAACTGAGTAAGAAGCCAGGAGAGCAACTATCAGCAGCAAGAAACTAAAATATAACAGAGTACATGGTCAACATAGCAAAAGTTTACTTTAATGGTATCTCATCACAAAGCATTTTTTTTCTCACATCAACTGTTCATATGAATGTCTTTGAGTAACCGGATTATGGCCACATAATAAAGAGGATACTCTTTAATATTTATCAATTATATTTCAATAAAAATATACTGCTCTTATATTAAAAAGTCCGGGTGACTAAACTGGTTGACTTCGGAATGCAGTGGGGCTGGAGTGTGTGTGTGTGTGTGTGGGGGGGGGGGGGGCGGATGGATGGATGGTGGGAGTCGGGGGGATGGGAAGGGAGGGGGGAATGGGGGGTGGTGGAGGATAGGAGAGGGTCACCACTTCCACTTGTCTTACACACAGCCAGTCCTACTTCTATTCCCAGCACCATACATAGTTCCCTCAAGTACACCAGGAGTGATCTCTGAATGTAGTCAGGAATAAGACTGAGTACCACTGAATATGACCCCAAAATGAGCAAATAAAACACAAAAAGGAAATAAGAAACTTTAAAACAAAACCAAAATTTCCTTCTTCTCTAACACCCATTATCGGTTGAGTGGTGATTCAGTTATTCAGTAATCTAACAGTATTTCCTATTCACGTGCCTGAACAAGATTTTGGCTGTGAAATTTATTGTCTTCTCCATACCTTCTCTTCTAGTTAAATGTACCTTCCACTGAATACACATTCGTCTATAATACTCAATTAGACTGCATTTCCTAGCAACATTAAACACACACCAATGTCCACCCACATGCCAAATGAAGCTAATACATTTCTAATGGCACAATTTGAAGGATGTGCAAACAATCTAACTAGAACCTCTTACCAGAAGTACAAAAGGAAATATGTATAATCTCCTACTTATTTTCAAGATGCTAGTGCACTAAGCTTCAAGAAAGCTGTCCCCAGTCTAGTGCCCCATTAGTTGAAGAGCTTCTCTCTTTCTAGTTCACTTAATAAGTAGTAGTAAAACTGAGAGATGATCCACTCGTCGATAAACTAACATTAGAGTCTTCCCAAAATGACAGTTTGATGTCACCAAATGGCAAAATGTGATATTATTCACTAAGCACATATTATATATCTGTCAGGTGATAACCTTGAGTAGAAATCTAATTTTTCAAAAGGAAGCAAAACACAATCCCATATTTATATATTGTCCAAAGTATCATATACAGCTTTGAAATTTCAAATTGTGAAAGCTTATAAACCTACGTAAAATTAAAAGCAAGTTGGGTTACTTAAAAACTAGTTAGCCTATCAAGAAATTGAAAATAGAAGCAGTAATAAATTAAGGAGAATACATGTTTTAAATTTCCTAATAAAACAGGTCTGCTTCTACTGACATAACAAACTTGTTCATCTGTTCTATTAACCATGGTCACTTATTCTATTAACCTAGCCACTAAGGGTAAGGTCTAATTCTGAAGGATTTCAAAGTTGAGCAGAGTCAGTGAGATGGCTCAAAAAGCTAGAGTATAAGGGAGCCTTAGGTTTGATCCTCAGCACCAAGTGTTCTCCAAGCACAGTCCAGGGGTGGCTCGAAAAACTCAAAAACAGAACACAATTTAGTGGGAAAATTAACTTGCATACAAAGTATCATGTAACAGCTCAATAAAAGTTCTACAGAAACACAGAAAAGTCAGGAAGGTCTGGTCTTAGAAAAGGAAAAATAAAACCAACCTAACAACAGGAGATGAAGGGTAATGAAAGTATTCTGTGTGCTTCATTTACACTCACAGATTTCTACTTATAAATAATCTACATGACTTATAAGCTCTGATACACTTTGGTCAACCTGAAAAAAACAATTCAGCTTTTTCCTAAGGTTATACGTGCATGTGGCTCAGACCTCCATTTTAAAAAAATTTCATCACATCCTTTGGACTGAAAAAATGCAATTACATAGTCTCCAAGATACAGACTAGTTAACAAAAGAACAATAGGAAAATACTAAGTCCTTGCTTCTCAGTATACTACCAAAATGAAAAACAAAATAAAAAATAATAGCAAAACAAAGAAAAACTCACCCAAAACCAAGGACACCAGTATTAGCCATAACATAAGCTAAGGCAAGGATGCCACTTCCCATGATGGCATTCATCAAATTAAACACTGAGAAACCAAATGAAACTCCTGGGGATCCCTGTCTGCGGGGTTCCTGTAAGAAAACAAAGGTAACAGTCCTGTAAACACACATTTAAATGTCGGGACAGTGAAGCTGACTTCAAGAATGACAGGTTATGGAGAGGTCCTGCACACCTCCAAGCACTGTGACACACTTATTGCTCAGTGAGCAATGATCTTCTTTTTCCTCTTTCATCTCCTGCAAGCGCAGCTCTAAAAATCGAACTTCCGAAGAAAAATATGTTCATACAGAGGCCAGACTCGCTGACTCAGTAAAAGCCAGGACTACCCAGTGACTGCAAAGAGGAAGATAGTCAGGAACCACCACGTGGTGGGGAAAAGAGAGATGGGAGATGGCCTGGGGCATGTGACTGCCAAAGTCCTGAGTCAGCCAAGGGTTGCTGGAGGCACTGGCTCCCCAAGTAACTACACCAGCAAAAAAAAAACGAATCTCTATTTAAAAACTTAGAGGATGGTCAGGAATACTTCGCAATGATGATGCAGTTAAAAGAATCGATCCACTTTGTTTTGGCCAGGACCATTTCATGAAAAGCCCTGCCCTTAAATGCCATGAGGCTTTAGGTCCTGGAAACTGACAGTTCAGTGGCTTGGGTTAAGAAAGAAGCCAAGTGTTGGGGCAGTGCTAAGTGCCTTACTTCAGGACCACCTTCACTCCCTCCGGTTTCCAAAGGCTAAACGGAAGAAAGGAAAGTCTGTGACTTGCAAGATCTCACAAGTCTGGTCGGGGGTGGGGGGGGGAAATACCCTGGGGGGGAAGGCTCATGCAACAGGGCCCCCCAGCGCCGTCACACACTTCTACCTGAGCCTGCATCTTCAGGGTTTCTGTCTAGGCAGGTTAGGTTGCCATCACCTCTCTAAACACCGCCTGATCTTATCTGATGTCGGCGGCTGTCTTTGGGTCTCAAGCCCCCGCAAGGTCAGGCTCCAGCCTCTCCCCTTAATGGGAGCCATCCCCCTTCTTTTCCGGGCCTTCACTTGGCCAGAGCTTCAGGGAAGCCGGGAAGCCTGCAGCTCCGGGAAACGAACTGAGCCCACTTACGTTGCCTAGCAACGGGCTCGACTCTTCCGCCTCCGCCTCTCCGGGCTGTGGATCGGAGACAAACCAGGCTGGCTCGGCGTTGATGGTCCCCCAGGGTGCTTCCATGCTGCCTGCTGGCCGACTACCAGGTCCATCTGCGCGCTCCGATCCCTGCCCTCCCGACCGCTGTCGCGCCAGAGGCGGAGCTAACACCCGGCCCCTCCGGGTTCCCGTAGTTCACCAGGGAGGGAAGAGAGGAAGAAACCGACGCTGACTGATGATGCAGACACATCGGCGGCGCCTCGGGATGACGTCGTCGAGGCGCCAGCCTATTCCCCCAGCTCCTCTGCTGAGCTGCACCAAAGCATGAGGTGAGGGGTCTAGTTTTGGAACCTGCCGCGGGGCGAAGCGGGAATTGAGACTGGGACCCTGCTGGGGGTGGCGACCGCGGTAGCCTTCCAAAGGGACCCGAGGCCGCGGTGGCAGTCCGCCGACGCCGCGCGCTGCTGGGAGCGAAAGCACGCGGAGGTACCCTCCAGCCGGGGTGCTGGGCTCGGGTCTCGAATCCTCCAGAGGGAGGAATCGGGTTACTGTTTTTAAAAGCGGTTAGCCTCGGAGCACACGTTTCACAGTTGTGGACTGACGCTCTGATTTAATTTACCTAAGAGCTCGCAGCTACTTAACCGCTACATGCATTTGGAATTCTGTGAACGCCGATCGTTGATTTACGGGGTGCAGGGACAGCCGAGCCTTTTTTTTTTTTAACCCCCTTGACAAATCATTAGATTGCAGACTGAATAACTGATGGCTGTTAATGATACGTGCATGGAACACTCAAGCTGGGTTTTGATTTAAAACAGAAAAACCGGTATCTGTACCAAGGGGGGAGGATTTGCAGCAGAAAGCAAACCATCGAAAGCAAAACCCCTTAGCAGCATGCCAAGAACACGGGACCAAAGGGAAGGCTCCAGACCTGGGAGCCGCCTTCTTCGCTCCCGCTAACTCGCGGTGATCCTCCGGATGAATTAATCTACCTCGAAACTGTAGTCCACTTTTTTCAAAACGAGGGCACACATCTCCCAATACTAGTAATGTATTTAAAGGATTTAACACATAATACTAGTTATGTGTTTAAATGATTTAACACGTCCGACACAAGAAACATCAGAATATTCTAGTAATATGACCACCGATAAAATAAATATAATGACCTTTTAAGAGATGATTCTTTCACAGAACTCTGCCTTTATTTTCTTTTTCTTTTTTGATGAAAAAGATAGCTTTCATTGAAACTTAGAGAACAGAAAGAAAGAAGTATCTGTTAGAACACAAGCTTCTCCTGAGTGGAAATAAGCAAGCAAAAAAAAAAACAGACTTGCAAGCGAGAAACATCTTCAAGGGAGAACATGGGCTTGAAGAGCAAGCCTCTCAGCCTTTCTCCCGGTTGTAGTTTGGAAAACCGAGGGTGAAGAAGTTCATGTAGGATGCAAAAGCTGGTGGGTTGCTCAACACTCCCAACAGCTGGTAGGTGCCGTGCAGATTTGCCACTAATAAAAGTTGTCCTATCCTAAAAAAAATAATAAATACACTTCTCACCCAACATTTGATCATTTAGCAGTTTAAAACAATTTAGATCCCCATTCTCAATCTATTATGAACATGTAAGTTAAACACTGTTTTATTAATGATTTTTTAGGATCTTCTGGAAGTCATTTGGATTCTCAAGAAGACTACTTAAAGTGCAAAGCTGTAGGATAACTGAATCAGAACTGTTGATCCCAGTAGGTTGGACATCACTGATACAGAAGCTTAGCAAAGCATCCGGTATTTTCTTGTTGAATCAAAGGAAAAAACTCTCAACCATGCCTGAAGTAGAAACAAATCAGAGAGACACTGAATTGTTTTCACCACCCTCCAATGTTCGAGGGATGACCAAACTTGATAGAACAGCTTTTAAAAAGACCATCACCATCCCAGTGCTTAAAGTGAGAAAAGAAGTAGTCAATAAATTGATGAGATCCCTTAAAAGGGCAGCACTGCAGCGCCCAGGCATAAAACGTGTGATTGAAGACCCTGAAGATGAAGAAATTAGACTAATTATGTTGGATCCTTTTAAGATGCTAAATGATAATTGCTTTGAGAAAGCTGAACTCAGTATTTTAAAGCAGCTTAATGTCAACCCACAAATATCGAACTATGATTTAGAATTATCTTATGAAAACTTTAAGTCAGAAGAAATCTTAAGAGCTGTGCTTCCTGAAGGTCAAGATGTGACTTCAGGATTTAGCAGAGTTGGACATATTGCCCATCTGAATCTTCGAGATCATCAACTACCTTTCAAGCATTTAATTGGTAGGTTTGCCATAATAATACTCATACACTAGAAAGCAATCAATAATTTCTAATTTGTAGGGGTTTTTTAAATGCCAAGTTAGAAAAGCTTATGTCAAAGTTTATGCTAAACTTTGAGCAATATACTCCCCTTTAAGGGCTATTTTTGAATATCCTTTCAAGTCATAGCAAGCTCTAAATAGCAATTCAAGCTTTTGTGTACACAATCCATGAGCATAGATAAAACTTGAATCACTCATTTTGTCAGAAATCTGGTAACTTGTCACTTGGGCACAAAGTTTATTAGGCTTTCAGGATTTTGTTGAATCTAGGTTTCCTACGCTTGAATGTTTTCAGTCAGAAGTGCCTGGTACTTATCATGCTTTAGTTGATGCAACTAAGGGAACCTCTTCTACGTATTAGGCATTTTAGTATTTTAGTGCTCCTTAGCCTTTTAGAAACAATGCTGGTGTGTGTGGTACTGCCATAGCCCCAAGTTTGAGTCTGGACCCTTTCATCTTTGGGATAAAGAAAGAATATAAACTCATCAGAATGTTCTTACGTAAATGTTTGATGACCAGGCACTCCAGATTAATTTCAACTGTAAGTCTCAGGACCTCTGGGAATTTAAAATACAGTACTCAGTATTTTGTGTGGTTAGGATTTCAGAAATACACTATTCTGCATTTCCTTTGTTTTTATTGATGAACAGTTGATAATTATATGATAGATAATACTTAAGCAGATCATTATAATTATGACTGGGTACAGATGTCACATCTATACTGCCCTATCAGTTCTGTTGCTTGTCCTAATTCAGATTTCTCTTGGCTTTGCATTTTAAACCTCTTTCATTAAGGTATACACATAAAATTAAAACATTTAATAGAATGGTAATTTAATTTTTTTGTTTTGTTTTGGGTCACACTCAGCTGTGCTCAGGGGTTACTCCTGGCTCTGTACTCTAGAATTACTCTAGGCAGTCCTCAGGGGACCATATGATATGGGATGCTGGGGATTGAACCCAGGTCGATTGTGCACAAGACAAGGCACCCTACATGCTGTGATACCACTCTGGCCTATTTTTTAGCCTTTACTAGAGTACTTTCAAAATAGGTGGTTTTTTTTTTTTCCATTTTATTATTTCAAACTTTTTGGGTGGGAGGTGTTTTAATTCAATACCCAGAGGAACTTGAAGGCAGTTTCCAGATCTACTCAGATCATGTGGTGGCAGATTTTAAACAGGAATGGCTGGGGGCTGGAGAGATAGCACAGCAGGTAGGGTGTTTGCCTTGCACACAGCCAACTTGGGTTCGATTCCCAGCATCCCATATGGTCCCCTGAGCACCTCCAGGAGTAACTCCTGAGTGCAGAGCCGGGAATAACCCCTGTGCATAGCCGGTGTGACCCAAAAAATAAATAAATAAATAAACAGGAATGGCTACACGTAATTCAAGTGCCTTAACCTCTGTATTATCTTTTTGGTACCAAACTAAATTTGTATACCTATAAGAAATGAACTAATACCTGAAGCAGACAACTGGATCAAAGCAACGATTGATTAGAGTTCATTGGTATTACTATATTCAAATCAGTACCTAATCAACAAAAGAACTAAGACAAATTTTAGTTCTGTTTAAGTATATTTGTAGTATAAGTGCTTTTTATTAATTTATACACCAAATTATCTTCCCTTATGCAATGAGATAGCATATAGATTCTTATAAATCTTTTAAGTGCTGACCAAAAAAGTAGACTGTGATTAAACAGCATCAATATACCACGTCTGGCATATTTTATTTGTAGCTTTTTCTGCTCGGGCAAGTATTTGACAGCAGTTCAAGTAAATGAATATTTTATTTAGGGAAGAATCTAAAAATTCAGTTTCTTTTATTTGAAAATACTATTTTACTGAAATTTTTCCAAAAGGTGAGGTGTATGTTCATATATGCAGTAAAGCAAACACTGAAACACGTGGAGACTGACAGGCTCTGTTTACTAAGACCATTTATTGCCACAGTCATTTTAATTTCTTTCCACTCTTGACTATTTTCCTTATTGTATTGGCACACTTGAGAAATTTTGTAAACACCTGCAAAAAAAATTAGCTTAGCTTCAAATCCTTTCTTATAAATTTTTCTTTAAAATTGTTCCAATTTTGGGTCAGAGCAATAGTACTGTGGATAGGGCACTTGCCTTGCATGTGGCCAACTTGGGTTTGATCCCTGTCACTCTGTATCCTCCTCTAAGCCCACAAAGAGTGATCCTTGAGTGTTGAGCCAGAAGATAAGCCCTGAGCACTGTGGGTGTAGCCCCAAACCAAAATATTAATGAAATTGTGCTTATTTTGTGCTTGTATTGGACATTGGGATTGGACATAACTTTACTAATATGTTGAAGTTTTAGAACTGCATTCTGTTTAACACATGATAGATAAGGTTTTCTGTAAGTGAAGAGAGAATAGATTATTTCTGCTTCAGGTTTCAGTTTTAGCTTTTATTTTACAATCAACAGACAATGCTTATTATATGTTCTCATCTTTTAGGCCAAGTCGTGATTGATAAAAATCCAGGAATCACTTCAGCAGTAAATAAAATCAATAATATTGACAATACATACCGAAATTTCCAAATGGAAGTCCTATCTGGAGAGGAGAACATGATGACCAAGGTATGGAGTATTTTATTATCTTGTACTTGTATATTAAGATTAGTTAACCATCTGATAAAAGGCCCTCCCGTTGATTGTCGATTTGCTCGAGCGGGCCCAGTAACGTCTCCATTGGAGACTTTGTTGTTACTGTGTCTGGCATATCGAATACTCTCGGTAGCTTGCTGGGCTCTCCGAGAGGGGTGGAGGAATCGAACTCGGGTCGGCCATGTTGGCCGCTTGTAAGGCGAACGCCCTACCCGCTGTGTTATAAATTAAAACTATTGATGAGTATGTGGGCTGTGAGAACTTACATGTATTAATAGGTGTGCAGATTTGATACCAACATTAAGAAGTGTGTGGTACTATTTTTCAGCTTTAATTACATATATGCTTTGAGCCAGTATTCCATTTACAGGAGGTTATTCCAAGGATATAGATGAAGAGAATCGTAATTATGTATTGGTTCTTTTGACAATGTTTTAACAATAAGTAAAAGAACAAAAATTAACCTAAGTATTCATTGATAGAGATTTCATTAAATTGTGTTAAGATACAATGGGTGTTTGAAATAGTTGATTTTTTTTTTTTATGAATGTGATCTCCACTGCACAGCCAGATGAGTGGACTGCAGTTAAAAAGTGTGCAGCTCCAGTAAGCATTACATCCAGAGTGTGTGAGCACAACAGCCAAATGAGTCTGACCCCCTTGTGCATAAGAACCATAATGTAATGGTGGTGGTATGTGCAAACTCAAAAAAGCTGCAGCGGTCTCTCTCTCCCACCGCCCGTGTTTGGTAGTCTCAGGACGTTTCCCCCACCCCAGGGAGGTCGATGGTGATGGGCAGGCAAGGGAAGGAACGAGGGTCAGGCCGGTTGATGTCAGTTGCAGTTTATTCCATTCCCATCTCCATTCTCCTCTGATTCTCCTCCTTCTTCCTCCCCCATACTACTTCATTCTCCTTCTCAATCCCCCTTCATCCTCCTTCTCGCTCTGGAATCTGGATCCTGATCCCCTAGCCCGCTCTTCCAGTCTAGTTAAATCCCAAAGCATGAGGGGTTGGGGTAACAATTACACATAGGTATGATCATAATCAAAAGGGGTAAAGTTCTTTCCCTCAGGGAAAGCCACTTCTAGGACAGACACTCTCTCAGCAGGATGACCCACCCTAGAACGAAATCCCCTGGTGTGTTTCTCCTTTTCTTGTCCAAAAAACATATAAGCATACATAATATAAATCATTTTGTATGTATACAGTAAGAAATACCTTAAGCTTATAGAATTGCTCTCCTAAAACCATCTCGATCTCAGACTGCAGTGCTCAGGCCAGATAGTCTTTCTTATCCCTAGCAGGGTCCTAGTCTCGTCGTTACTTTTGGATCATGACAGAATTTGTCTATGATCAAACTCTTGGAGATCTCAGCCCCGGGACCCACATGCCTTCGTTCCTCAGCCGGTACCTTCATGCGTGTGGAGAGTGGTCTCAGCATGGTGGTGGCTGGTTCTGGAGGTCTTCAGCTGCCGGAGCCCTGGCCGGGGCAGGGAGGGAAACTCAACCCGCTCCCCTCCAAGGGGCCCCCATTGAGGACAGCCAGGCGCGAGGGCAGGAGACTCTGCGCTATTGTCTTCTGGGAGCTGAGTTTTATAGTCTCTGGGTCTTGGCTGTTGACGGGATTCCGGGGCTGAGATCTCCAAGCCTGCTCAGATCAGGGCTAAGCATCCTCCACCCAGCTCCTCCATATTCCAGTAGGCAGAGGTCACACCCACCAACCGGCCTCCTGGCACCATGTAATCCCATCAACGACCAAGACCCAGAGACTATAAAACCCAGCTCCCAGAAACACGCGGCCGCACGACATCTTCTTATCTCATTCTTACTTTGGACAAATTGGCAGTCTACTGAATGTAACCTGCCCACACAGCAGAGTCTGGCAAACTCCCCGTGGCGTACCCAATATGCCAAATACCAGTGATAATGATGGGTCTCATTCTCCTAACCCTGAAAGAGCCTTGAATATGGCACTTTTTTAAAAATCTCATGGCTAGGACAAAGGAGACCTTACTGGGGCCTGCTCGAGACAATCGACAAACAACATGATGGTTGTAATCGTGATCATGAAACTCTTAACTTATAGTTAAGAACTGTGAAACTTAGGCCTGGCCCATCTCGATGCCAGGGTAGCACATAGCTTACCGCTTGCCCTGGTTCCATCCAGTTCCTCGTCAGGACCCTGTTTTTTGGGAGTGCTAGGAATTGAGGGCAACTGAGGCTTAAGTTGAGAAAGCAGATGTCTGGGAATAAATAATATTCAAAGTCAATTAAATCCTAAGTTACAAAGCATAATATTAACTATCTTCCTGTATCTATACAAAAAGGACATTGCATTAAACTATTCAAAAGACATAAGGAGAGGAGAAAGGCAATATTAACTTACAATTTCAGTGTCCTAGAAGGATCTGACCTTACAAATTAACAGATGCTGATTAGGGGGAAAAGCTGATTAACTGATTGGGGAAGAGAGCATAGAGAAATGGTTACAGCTAAACGAAGGAATGGGAGTGACTCTGGAGCACTATGATGGGTGTAACCTGATAAACCTAAGCTCCTTGTGGCAAGGGAGAAAGGACAAAGCAATGTCATCCTACAGTGGTAGTTATTAATATCACTATCACTGTCCTCCCGTTGTTCATCGATTTTGCTCAAGCAGGCCCAGTAATGTCTCCATTGTGACAATTGTTACTGTGTTTGGCATATTGAATACGTCACGGGGAGCTTGCCAGGCATTGATGTGCAGGCGAGATACTCTCAGTAGCTTGCCGGGCTCTCCGAGAGGGGCAGAGGAATCGAACTCGGGTTGGCCATGTTGGCCGCTTGCAAGGCAAATGCCCTACCCGCTGTGCTGTCACTCCAGCCCAGTTATTAATATACTTCTTATTAATATGAGTAACAAGGAATGATCAGGTGTTTGGAGGGAAACTTTTGACTCCAGAGCTGCTTGGTTGTCCCTGTAATACCAAGCCTTCACTGCCTACTGCTTGTATAGAATGTACGAGGTCTTTTAAGGCAGAGTAAGATTTGAAGATAAATTCGTTAGTAATAAAATTCAGTTTACTTCAGCTGACTCTTTAGGCACACCCCAACTGAACACTGTCGATGTTCTACACTTGATCCCTTGATACTGACTCTTGTAATGGATTTCCTAAGTCATTCACAGTCTGTTCTTAAAACAGTATTTATACTATACTTGTAAAACTTCAGTGTGTCTGTGTTCTTGCTTTTGTTTTGCATTTGGGCCACACTGGCTGTGTTCAGCGCGTGATCCTGGTTGAGTACTCAGGGATCACTCTTGGTGTGGCTCTGGGCATAGGTGATGCTTGGGACTGGGTCCTGATTGGCTGCACGCCTTGCCTGCTGTACTATCTCTCTGGTCCCTCCAATTTCTTCGCTCCAAATAAAATCACATTTAACTTTAGGAGCTCAAATATCTTTTAAGTACTCTGTATATTTTTTTTTCCTTTTTCCCTGAGTCATAAAGTTCTTGAAAGTGAATCTGGTTAAAGCAATGCTGAGTAAGGGAGTGAGATTCAAAGAGAGCTTAAAATCAAAGCATTAAGAATCTTGACTTTTTTTTTTTTAAGCTTTTTGGGTCACACCCAGAGATGCTCAGGGTTTGCTCCTGGCTCTGCACTCAGAAACCAGCCCTGGCGGTGCTCAGGGGACTATATGGGATGCTGGGAATTTAACCCGGGTTGGCTACATGCAAGGCAAATGCCCTACCTGCTGTGCTATTGCTCCTGCCCAAGAATCTTAACATTTCTTTAAAAAAAAAAAAAAAACTTGATCTAGTTAGATCAAGTTTAACTTGATCTTAGTATTTCACATTAAGAAACTTTAAAAAAGGAGTAAAGGAGATTTCAAGAAAAGCATCCAAAAACACCTGATTATAAAACTTAAAGAGATTTTAGTTGGCAGAATTTTGAAGACACATTTTCAACTCTGAAACCTTACCAATATGACCAGAGTATCTGATACATGCTTGATAGGGAAACAGCATGTACAAATTTTGAATTAAAGTTCATGAAGGAAGCATATGGATGTATCTTCTCAGACTTCTAGAACTTGGAAACTTCGATTCTGTGAAATAAGGGGCTTAAGATGGTAGCTGAAGTCATAGTTCATAACCATTTTTAGTTTTGTTTTTTTTTTAATTTGTGATACTGCCGAAATAAGTGCTACAAAGTTTTGATTTTGTTCAGGATTATCTGTATAATTTTTTGGCTTATCTATGAAAACTCAGATTTGGGAAAGAAAAAAACAGGAAATGACTTGGTTTTCATGTTTTTTTTTGTTTTGTTTTGTTTTGCTTTTTGGGTCACACCTGGTGATGTACAGGGTTTACTCCTGGCTCTGTACTCAGAAATTACTCCTGGCGGTGCTCAGGGGACCACAAGGAATGCTGGGAATCGAACCTGGGTCGGCTGCGTGCAAGGCAAACTCCCTACCCACTGTACTATTGCTCCAGCCCCCTGTTTGTTTTTTAAGTGAATAAGGTAGCTATATTTAAACTTACTTAGAAAGATATGAGGGGGCTGGAGCAATAGCATAGTGGGTAGGTATTTGCCTTGCACGTGGCCAACCCGGGTTCGATTCCCAGCATCCCATATGATCCCCTGAGCACCGCCAGGGGTAATTCCTGAGTGCAGAGCCAGGAATAACCACTGTGCATCGCCAGGTATGACCCAAAAAGCCAAAAAAAGGAAGGAAAGGGAAGGAAGGAAGGAAGGAAGGAAGGAAGGAAGGAAGGAAGGAAGGAAGGAAGGAGAGAGAAGTACATGTTCAAGAGAGAACATGAACTTCTGCACAGTAGAAAAAGTAAGCAAAGAGATAAGAGAAGCAGGTGAGATACAGTTCAAAGAACAGCTTGAAGAGCAAAGTCAAAGGAATACTTTGTTCTGTACACTGGTTACAACTTACAGATATGAAATTTGCAAAGTCTATCTCTCTGAAAACAGGAAAATTCATCCAGAAAGATAGTACAGAGGCAAAGGTGCTTGCCTCACACATGGCTGACTGACTCTGGTTTGATCCCTTGCACTACATGTGGTCCCTGAACATCACAGGAAGTGATCTCTGAGCAGAGCCAGGGGTGATGCCTTAGGACAGCCAGGCACAACCCAACCACCTTGTCCCCCAAATAGCAAATATCCAGAACTTAACACACAACACACATCTCATGCTTTCTTCCTCCTATAAACTGAAAACTATTAAGGTGGAAGATTGTTATATTAAGTGCTATTATTGACAGCTCTCTACTGTCAAGATAATATGTACTATCTTGTTTCAAATTACACTGCCCACCCAATCAGGTTATAGAAGTGTAATTAAGATTGCTCATTGATCTGAAAAGTTCCTCCTGTGATTTGTGAATCATTGTACAGCCATTCAGTGCATTCTGCACTACGCTTAGACCTCTGGTCTACAATATATCAAAGAGCCACTTGGCTTCGATGAGGCATGACAGTGCCAGCCCTCAAGCATAAATAATTAGAATTCTCATTAAAATGCTTTTGAATGCAGTTACTTCTCTTAATAGTAGTAAATAAATATGTGTTTGTAGATTGGTACACCCATCCAATATGTAAGACTAAGCAGATTAACTAAAATTTAATACCCTTTTTCAGGTTCGAGAAAACAACTACACCTATGAATTTGATTTTTCAAAGGTCTATTGGAATCCTCGTCTCTCTACAGAACACAGCCGTATCACAGAACTTCTCAAACCTGGGGATATCCTATTTGACGTATTCGCTGGGGTTGGACCCTTTGCCATTCCAGTAGCAAAGAAAAACTGTACTGTATTTGCCAATGATCTCAATCCTGAGTCCCATAAATGGCTATTGCACAACTGTAAATTAAATAAAGTTGACCAGAAAGTAAAGGTGTTTAACTTGGATGGACAAGACTTCCTTCAAGGACCAGTCAGAGAAGAGTTAATGCAGCAGCTGGGACCACTGAAAGAAAGCAGACACTCTGTGCACATTGTCATGAACTTGCCAGCAAAGGCTATAGAGTTTCTCAGTGCTTTCAAATCCCTTTTGGATGGGCAGCCGTGCAGCAATGAATTCCTTCCCATCGTGCACTGTTACAGCTTTTCTAAAGATGCTGATCCTGCTAAGGATGTCCGACAACGAGCTGAAACTGTATTGGGTATTTCCTTGGAGGCATGCAGTTCAGTTCATATAGTAAGAAATGTGGCGCCTAACAAAGAAATGCTATGCATTACCTTTCAGATTCCTGCTGCTATACTGTACAAGAACCAGACCTTAAATCAAGGTGAGAAATTAAACTATACTACCTTTCCCTTTCATGTCGTACAAACATACATATGTATCATGGCTACATATATATTTTACTACATTTGGATTAGGTTAACTAAATTAATTCTACTTAGATATTTCAGTTTAAGATCCTCTTGCCATTCACTTTTGACAAGTTTCTCCCAATTTTACAAATTTTAATGCAATAAGCTTTATTCTTGAGACTGTTTCATTAAAGAAATCTACAGAAATGTTACTGTTTTATGTCTAAATTGAAAAGATTAAATCTTTAAATTACCTTTATTATTTTTAAAAAATACCTAATATTTTAAAATGTTACAGATTTTAACTAATAGATTTTCTGGATTTGTTACAGAGAATCATGAAGACCCACCTCTTAAGCGCCAGAAGACAGAGAAATTATTTTCAGAAGAAAAAACACAAGCTACTTCAGTCACTAATTGAAAATGTACTCTCTATCCCCACTATAATAATAGTATATAAATATAATTTGTATGATTTAACAAAATCGTAGCAGTTATTTTATTATTAAATCTTTATATTTAGTCCCTACTATCTTATACACAATGTTAGATTAAAATTTAAGCAAAATAAGTGTTAAATATATTTTACCCCAAATTTTTAATTATAATTTTATAAATATTTTAATAGATATTTATTGTCTCTTTCTAGGGAAAATTTTTTTTGAGGGTAGATAAGTGCATGCTACCTAGGAAAGCACTAATATCACTCTGCAGTTTTCCTTAGTTGAAGATTGTAGCTATGATCTATATAGCCACTACAACACTTTTATATAAGTAAATTACTTCTTTTGTTTGTTTATGGGCCACACTGGGAGGGACTGTGCTCTGCTAGCGATTGAACCCAGGCTTTCCCTAATGTAAAGCACATACTGTAGTCATCTCCCTGGCTCTCTGAAAGTAATCTTTAAATTACATTATTTAGGTTATTGATAGGCAAAGTATCCCCAGCAGCCAAATCTATTCCATTATCTGTTTTTGTATTATAGGAAGTAATCTGAGAAGTTTCTTAGACTTTTTAAATAATTGGAAAAGAGCAGTCTTTTGTGACATGAAAATTACATAAAATTTCAATCTCAGTATCCATCAATAAAACTTTAGAAGATAGAATACACCATGCCTTTTTTATTCAGTGCCAGTTTTCGTGGTGTAAGAGCAGGGTTGACAGGTTGCAACACAGCCTGGATATGATTCTCATCCTTTTATACTGTAACTCACACTGATCACAGCAGTGAGTTACAATCTACAGCATTTTGAGTAGCAATATATAACATTTATATATTATCAAGTTATAATTCTTTTTAAGTACCATATCAGTCATTCTCTCAAAATAAGAAAAGCAGATTTCTGAAGTTGTGGTTTAAAGGCACAATGAAGTGTGAGCTATTTAGATACTGAATTAGATAATAGCATAAAAACAATATATGTTGGCATTACCAAGAGGAGCATTCATAAGGTTAATAATACTGAAACCATGTTAAACAATAATAAAAATTTTAAAGAAACACTCAACACAATATTCCCAACTGTCAAACCAATTTAAATGAGGGGCTGGGGAGATAGTACAGTGGCTAAGGCACTTGTCTTGCATGTGACTGGCCAACTGCCTGGTCTTTAATTCCCAGCATCCTATTGGGCCCCTTCACACTGCCAGGAGTGATTCCTGAGCGCAGAGCTGGGTGTAAGCTCTGAGTATTATCAAGTGTAGCCCCAAAACCCAAAACAAAAAGTCCAATTTAAATGAAAATATTTCCGTATTTGACACATCAGTCACTGTCACACTGTCACTGTCCTCCTGTTCGTTGATTTGCTCGAGCGGGCCCAATAACATTGTGAGACTTGTTGTTACTGTGTTTGGCTTATCGAATACGTCACAGGTAGCTTGCCAGGCTTTACCATGCTGAGTTTTAAATTTTTAGAGAATTAACTTTTAACTGCATGGAATACTTGGGTTATAAATTTTCAAAAAAAAAAAAAAAACAGAAAACACTAATTCTGTACAACCTAAAGTAGAATCAACTGTGTTACAACAGTTGGCAAAAAAAAAAAAATGAATTACAGAAAGATTTAATTGGTAATGGAGCTATAGCACAGCAGGTAGGGCAATTTGCCTTGCACGCAGCCAACCTGGGTTCAATCCCTGGCATCCTATATGGTACCCCAAGCACTGCCAGAAATATTTTTTTTTTCTTTTTGGGTCACACTGGCGATGCATAGGGGTTACTCCTGGCGGTGCTCGGGACCATTTGGAATGCTGGGAATCAAACCTAGGTCGGCTGCGTGCAAGACAAATGCCCTACCCACTGTGCTATTGCTCCAGCCCCTGCCAGGCGTATTCTTGAGTGCAAAGCCAGAAGTAACCCCTGAGCATTGCCGGGTGTGACCCAAAAAGCAAAAAAGAATAAAAAAGTTTAAAAAAATTTAATTGAGCAAACTTTTCAAAAGCTGTGGGAGGAAAAACGGGCTGGAGAGGGAGTATAGGGGTTGAGGTGCTTGCTTGCCTTCCATCTTGATGACCATGGGTAGAATCCCTGGCACCATACATGGTCTCCCAAGTATCTACAAGGGTCATTCCTTAGCAACAAGGAATAGCCCCTGAGCACCATGAGGTGTAGCCCAAAAACAAATTGTAAAAATGAGAGGTATTATTAAAATCTATGATTATTTTCTATTTACTGCTAAAACAGTAGTGTCAATTATGAATTTTATCTTCATGAATTTTACCTCAATTCCTTGAGTTTTGTCAGGAAGTAAAGCTGAATTTCCTGCATGTTTAACCTAAATTTAATCTGATTAGCAATTAGGAAGTTAAACTGCAGTTTCTTCAGTGTTAATAATAAATTTTTCCTACCAAGAATCACCCTTAAATGCTATTCCAATACCCTAACATATTTCTAAGCTTCGGAAATTAGCTTTTGGTTAAGATCTAATAGTATTCCGTTAGGATTTCAACCTACAATTTCAAATCAAAATTAACTTTAATGTCAAACTGGTAATTTCAATAACTGACATTTGTATCACAATCTTCTGTTATACATATCCTATAGCACTGTAGCACAGTCCTCCTGCTGTTCATCAATTTGCTCGAGGGGGCACCAGTAATGTCTCCATTGTACTGTTTCTTGCATATCAAATACGTCACAGATCCTACATTATAAAAAAAAATTACAATAAGTGCCTGGGGAGTTAGCCCAGCAGGCTGAAGCAGGGCAAGAGAGGAAGTATTGCAGATGAGCTTGCCACTCATGCAGCCGACCCCAGTACTGATCCTAGCACTGTCTGTTGTCTCCTGCACACTGCCAGGAGTAAGCTCAGTGTGTCACCAAAAGAAAACAAAAACAGGCTCAAGTGTAAAATCAGCACGCTGAAGGTTGTGTGTTAGCAGGCTCTCTGGACAGCGCTATCTCGCTGCCTGTGTTCGGTGCTCTTGAGCTGCTGTTTGTGGCCTGGATCAGGACGGCTATTGGCCAAGGGCAGACGAAGGAAGAAACAAGGGCCAGACTGGTCGATATCAATTGTAGTTTATTCCAATCCTCTTCACTCCTGTCTCTCCCTCTGCCTCCTCCTCTCCTGGGCCCCAATCTGAAACCCTTTCTCCTTCTGGCTCTGACCCTGAATCTCTGGAGCCCAAGCTCTCTCACTTCTGACTCTGCCCCTTCCGAGCTTACATTCTTAGTTTATATAGCAATCACATAGGGTGATGACACAAAGGTGGTTTGAACATTGACAAATCAACAAAGAGAGGTAAAATCACTCCTTCAGGAGATGAACTCAAGGGATAAAATCTCATCTAAAGAGATTACTCCAGATTACTAAGAGATCCGCTCAAGGGTGGGATCCCAATGAGGGTATGTTCTTTCTTTAGCTAATAATCTACTTAAATAGTTGTAGTAAATCTACTTCTAACATTTCTAGCAGTGTCATTCTGTGTGAGCACAGTAAGAGATAGAAACTTAGAGTTTGCGAGTCTTGGTGCAAATACCAACATAATTCTCTGATTTCAACATCTATTTACAATTGAGGAGTTGCTACGTAAGTGAAAGTGATGAATATCCGTGCAGTAACATGCAATTAGGCAGATTTTTCAAATGCCTTACAATGGATGAATATGCATTGCTAAAAATCATATGCTTCTTAACTGAAACTAGTATTTTAAAGTATCTATGTGAAAAGACTTTTTTAAATGTTATGTATAAAATCTTATTACAGACAACTATGATCATTTAAATTCTAGTAGATACTTAGGGCTGGAGCGATAGCACAGCGGGTAGGGCGTTCGCCTTACAAGCGGCCAACATGGCCGAGCCGAGTTCGATTCCTCCGCCCCTCTCGGAGAGCCCGGCAAGCTACCGAGAGTATTCGATATGCCAAACACAGTAACAACAAAGTCTCCAATGGAGATGTTACTGGGCCCGCTCGAGCAAATCGACGATCAACAGGAGGGCCTCGAGCTCGAGCAAACTTAGAACCCCTATTAAAGGAAATGTATTCACCTCCCCAAGTCATTACCAAAGTATGCTCAATTTTATTTTGAATTTTGATGATTAAAAATATGTTTTTAATTTATTTTCCCACATTAAGTATCTACATAATGTTCTTGATGTTTGCCTTAATCCACACAACTAAATGTTAAGACCTATAGTAAAATTCTAAAGAGTTCTGATCTAAATCCTTAATAATATCATTAATTAAAAACATAAAATGCATAAGGCTCACAACATTCAGCTTAAAACACTGAAGCACATTCTCTGCATGTAGAAGCCCTGGATTCAATCCCTGGTATCACTGGTCATGGGAAATAACTACAATGACTTCAGAAGCCAGGCACATACTATAAATTGACAAAGACAATAAATGGTAAAGATTGTAGGGAAATCTAAATTTAGATATAAATTCAAATTCTTTTTTAATACTCAACCACCTAGTCTCTGCAAGATCTAGTGTGCTAAATAATTTAATCCCAACCCTTTACCCTCAGAATAGGTGAGCAAACCTTTATTATTTAAATCCAAGCCTATAGTATACTTTCCATGTGACATCTAGTAATTGAAATCCTGATGATCCCATTTTTCTAATCCATTCGATACATTTTTTTTTTTTTGCTTTTTGGGTCACACCTAGCGATGCACAGGGGTTACTCCTGGTTCATGTCACAAATTACTCCTGACCATGCTCGGGGGACCATATGGGATGCTGGGAATCGAACCCAGGTCGGGCTGCATGCAAGGCAAACACCCTACCTACTGTGCTATCACTCCAGCCCCTTGATACATTTTTTAAATGTTAACTTTTAATTTGTTTGGAGCCACCATGGGGTGCGGGAAGAGCTATTCCCAGAATGGTGCTCAGAGAGCCACCTGGTGCCAGAGATCAAACTCAGGACTCTTCCACATAAAGCATGCCCTCCAGTCCTGTAAGCCACCTCCCCAGACCTAACTTGGTTAACTTTTTGACAAGTGGTCTGCCACTTAACTAGAATTTTAAATGATTAATTGACTACCTATTAGTAACCTAAAGAAAGCATTTAAGAAAAGGTTAGCTAAAATAAGTATTGAAATTAAGGAATACTAAGTAATAAGTAATAATACATTCTAACTAAAATACAAACACAGTCAATACTTAATACCTGCTTATAACAGAGTATAAAATCATGTTCCAAACAATACATTTCTCAGAACTTCTCTCAAAGGTAGCTACAAAATAATTTAGTTACTATCATCTACATACCATAGGCAAATCAAATGTTTGAACTATAAATTTTTCTGGAACTCTTAGGACTGCTGACTACTTTGTTTTAACTACTTTTGTTTGTAAATTTGACAACTTGACAATCTGTGTGCATGACTCTAGAATTTTAACACTTTGGTTCAAATCCCAACTCCACTACTTTGAGAATTGGCAAATTACTTAACCTCTGAATGTCTCATCAGCTTTTTTTTATCTAAGTGGGATAAATAATAAAACTGTTGATTAGATTATACACAAACCTGATTAGACAATACACAAAGCCAAAAGCACAGTGAATGTATACAGATAAAGCTCAGAGTCCTTAGCTAGTCTATACTAGAGCTGTAAAATGTTAAAACAGCTGAATTCGTGTAAGACTTGTTGGTCCTGAGAGATAGAACAGCACTTGCCTTGCTTGCGGCTGACCCAGGTTTGATTCTGAGCATACCACAATCCACTAAACACCATCAGGAATGATTTCTGAGTGCAAAACCAGAAATAACGCTGGAGTATCACCAGGTATGGCCCCCCAAACAAACAAAGAAACAAAGAGCATGAAGATTTTTTTATAGCTTTTTCTCTCTGAAAGAAGAAATTACTGGGAAAATATGGGTAACACTCAATTTATATTTCTATATTTACTGAACTTATAATAATGTATTATTCCATTCCCTTTAATAATGACTTTTAAATTTGGCCTACTGAACAAAAAATATGGCAATAAGGGTGAAATTTTACAAAAATACAAGAGTTTCAGAATGTATTTGCCAAGTCATATGTAACACTAAAACACTATTATTTCCATGATAATAAGGGTGGGCTCAAAATAAGTTCTGAAAGCCTTTGAAATTTTAATTGGCTCATTCCATTAAAATATACCATTCTGTCCTGGAACAGGTTATAATTTATTCACTGTGAATAAGTAATAGTATTTCTGTTTTAATGACTGAATAAATTAACTTTAGCAGCTGAATATACAAAAATCTTAACTGTAAGTCCAGTGTTTTTCACTGTTCTCAGAAAAATTATATAGATTTACTTAAAATGCTATTTACTATGAGAAATAGGATGCAGCTTGGCAGAGAGATTAGAATTAGATTTTTTTTTTAAGGATGTGTTCTAAATCCTGAATTTTTGCAAACTTACGTGTCTGATCTTTGCCTACTTAGTTATTCAGTGCCTTAGCTTTCTCAAAGATGACTAGGAATACCTTCTTTAGTCAAGGTGGAGCTGTTACATATAACCAACCACACACACTGTTATACAATGATCCACCCATATATCTACCATCTGGTGTCATAGAGATCTGATAGGAAAATCCTTAATTTCCTTGTGAAACAACATGCTATATCCACTGGTCTATAGCAGCAAACTCATACAGGTTGAGATGCTACAAATATCCATTTTATTCACATTTAAATTCTTTATACAAAATATTGGCCATACTTAAAGCCTTGGAAGCTTTACAAAAACTACCTCAGAGTCTATAATTTACACATAGGGAAATCTTATTTAAAACGAACCATTCCCATTTCCAAGGTTTCTACATAAAATGAGCTCATATTTGCTATTAAAGGTGCCATTTAAATTTTAAATTTTATTAACTTGCCTCTTTGAATCTGTCACTAAATCACTGAAGCAGGTAATACCCTGCTCTGGTTGAGCTAAGTGGCACACAGCTGGAAATTGTAACACCTTGATGAAGGTGTGTCTCTCTCCACTGCTCAAAATAGGCACCAAGTCCACTTTAATACCAACATTACCATAGGTCAGGTTTTTACTTGCTACAACCTGCAGATAGAGGAAATATATCCACTTGCCTGTACTAGTATTAAGACATTTGGAGGGGGAAAAATGGAGCATTTTATGAGAAGCAATAACAGACTTGGATATTAGCACTAAATGTCGTATTCAAAATGGCACTTTAAAATGTATTCAAGTAAAAAGTATAATAAGAAAAAACACCAAACTACCCCACAAATTTTAATATAATGTCTAGCTTTATTTTTTTATGATTTTACAAATCTGTCAGCCTAAAAATACTAAGTGACTTAATGTGATTTATTCATATCTTCCACATGAGGCTTAGAGCTTTAGTCCTTTTCAGAAAAAGTAAAAAATATTTTTTTCCACAAATAGTTATCCACTGTAATATTCAGCTTACTTCTGAATTTTTTTTCCTTATAAGTATTTTAACACAGCTGCTTGTAGTAGCTTTGTTGTACAGCTGCATATGGCTATAATTTTACAAGTCGGCTTTACTTTTGCTGGTTCGGCTCCAAGGTCCAAATCTCATAAAAGGAGACATAAAGGTTAACTGGGCTGCCAGAAAAGCCCACTGAATGCATCCTGCAGAGCTCTGCGACAAGCAAGAGAAGAAGTATAGCCTCCAGCAAGGTCCTGAGGAGAGGCAGCTCTCACGTGGTTTAAATACCTAAAACAAAACAGAAAGTGTAGTAGCATGGACATAGAAAGTGCATATAATTTAATTTTTAAAAACAATGTTTTAATTCAAATTTTAAAAGGGGATTCTGAAATTGAAATGTCCAGACTTTATAAAGGTGTTATTACCTTTTAAAAGGAAACAAGTCAAATAAACACAGATTGCTAGATTAGAGCCAAAGCAAGCATAAAACAAATTATATCAAGTGCCAAAAACAGTTTTCTGAAAAAGGTTTCAAAAATAGTACTATTAACATGTTCACTATTCCCAAATTCCAGAAGTCAGTCAGTGTTCTGCTGACTGTTGTTTGGGTGCCTAACTACTCTTTTTCCTGGCATACTTTTTAATAAATGGATATGCAATACTGTAACACTACTTATAACTCATTGAAACACATATGTTGAATATTTTACAAAAATGTTTTGAACGTACTAACTTCAAAATTACTTCAAGACTGCAAAAATAAATTGTCTTCTTCCCTGCAGGAAAGGAAACTTAAAAAATCACAAGTCCAAGAATTCTCTGAAATGAAGTCTTAGTTCAAAAGAATGTGCAATGGATACCATTTTCTTTAGCCATACATGTGATTTAATAATTAAAACTTTCTACCTTGACAAAGGTAGACACACAGATCTAAAAATCAAGCAATCCTAGTTAAAGAGAGTAGCAACACATTAACATGACCAACACTGCAGGAAAACAAATATTTCCGGTCTTGCTTTAATGTCTAGTTGAAGAAAACACTTTGTTTCTTTAGGACTCAGGAAGTCAAGGAGTTTCACCCACTTTAGAATTATGGGTACAGCATGAATAAATCAGGTAGCAGAACATTTCAATAACTTGGAAACTTTTCTACTAATTCATTCAAACTTCCTGTGTGTCAAAGTCGTGATGCGTGAGCAATGTATTATTTCTAACATAATAACAAGTCTGTTTTTCATTAGTATACATGTTTAATAAGCTTATGTGATTTAAAATATATACATCGTTATATGAGAAACCAAACTGAAACTGGTCAAAGTAAGATACACAAAAGCTCCTGGAATAAACTATAATTTATTCATCTTGCCACAAATCAAGGTGTTAAAGCAATCCTTTGCTTCTATACCAAATATGCAAGGGGCCTATGGAAGGAAATATCTATTTATTTAGCAATTATCTCCAAACACTTGTGATATTATATAACTGAAAAATATTTGAATACACCCCCCAAATGCATATTATAAATACATGAAGAGAAGCATTTAATGAGATAAAACATTTAAATAAAATTTTTTAAATTTTTAATGAAAAACTTTAGTATTTTCTCCGTATCTCTCATCTTGTATATCCTGATGGGATGCATACCATTTTGAAGGCTATCTACATTGAAGGTACTAAAGGGTTAAGAACAGGGTTTCACTAAAATTATCACACAGCTCTAAGTGTATCTGCTTTTAATCTCCAAAGATACTATAACAGATCAGATTTTAAGACTCTGGTGCATGAGAATTCAGGGTTAAGCTACCTCAGAAAATCTAAAAATCAACCAGAAACAGCATCAAAAAATCAGTTTCACTGGGAACTGAGTAACTCACACAACTAATTAGTAAGACTCTTAAAGCAACTTGAAAATGAAATGTTTTATTCCTAATACAAGCATCTAGCAAATTTTCATCCCTACAGTAGATAATTTATTACTCTTTTCCTTTTCTCAGACCCTATTTTAGGGGAAAAAAAAAAAGCAGCCTTAGATCCAGTGGCAGTACCCTCACAGCAAAATTTAAGCAGCAAAGTCATGTCTGTAAAGTTTAAGGAGCCAAATGTTGTAAATGAGAACTGTTTCTCAGACTTGTAATACAAACCACTGTGCAACTAGTTGTTTTGATTCATCACATTTTAGTACAACTTACTTCTGGGAAAGTTGAGTCATACCAATTCTGGCTTGGCAAACCAAGCATAAACTTGCAGTATACATACAGATTTTTATATGTTATCCTGAGAAACATGAAACAGCTGCATTGCTGGCAGAAAAACATAGGACCACCAGTAAAATATTCAAAACAGTTGCATCTTCTAATTTATGACTACGCACTATTTCCATAAAGAGTATATAAAACAGTTCACTTTTTTTAAACAGGTAAATGTATTAAACAGTCATACTCATTGATGTCATAAATGTGTAAAAAGGTTTATTTTAAATGATTAATTAGTGTTTGAAATAGCATTTCTTGAACAGTCATAACCCAGAGCAATAAGCAAATATTTTAAATTTGAGTTGTTAATGCTAAGTTGTAGATGCTCACTGCCAAAATCAGGTCAACTGCATTTTCTTTGCATAGTATTGAAGAAGATGCATTAACCTTCTCACAATTATTTCCACTAAAGTTGTAAGATCTGTTAAAGAGATCTTATTTATAACTGCTATTTTTTATCTCTATGGTTGTACAAAATAGTTACAGGTAAATAGTTCAACCTATATTCAACATGGCAACCTACAATAATTCCAATTTTTTAAAAAGCCATAAGATGAAATTTACATACAAAGGTGTGAAGCTGTAATCTCAATTTTATAATCCTATAGTATAGTATATCATTGATAAATCAGTAAAATTATACTTAAAACAATTTTTAAACAACACATGCTCTTGTTATGTAGTGGAACTTCTAGTTTCTACATATTTTAACTTAATGATCATAAACCCTTAAATTACTGTGGCACACCAAAGTATTTTAAAGACCAGGCCAGACTGAAACCACACAGTAAGAACTTAGTGATCTGTCTACTTTTTCATATCAATCCACATCTGTGTTGTTTGAATTTTTTATGACCAGGACAACTGTATCACTGGATAGGATTCCTGGAATTTTGGGCAGAGGTCAGTATCATTTCATATGTATGTACCTTTATACAATAGAATATGAAGTTTTGGCCAGATATTTCAAAATGTCAAGCCCAACTGTATTTTGGAAACAGAAGATAATTGCTCTCTTTAGTGAGTATCAGGACAGTATTTCTGGTTCTCAAGGGTTTATTTAAATATCTGTTAATCTTACAAGCAGAAATCAGAAAAGAAAAAAGAGGGTTTGCTTATCTTGGCACTTATTTACCTTATTTTTTTCTGAAAGCAGACAAAATTAAAAGATGTTAAACGCCTATCTTTGATTATTTTCTCAATAAAACTCTTACAAAAGTATGGTTTCAAAAGCATATCTAAGTAATTTTTGCACAAAAAATCATATGCCCTAATTTATAGTTTGTCTAAAACTGTCTTCCTTTGCCATAATCCATCAAATTCTCTGTAAAGGAAGGAGAAAGGGAATGTGAGAATAAGACAAAATTAAATATTTTAAAACTAATATTAAATATTTGAAATTGTCTCTGAACTCTGATTTTTTACACAGTCATTTTCTTTCTTTACATTTAGCTTTTTCTTTTATGTTTAGAAAGTGGTCTAATTTACACTAGATTCTCTCCCCTCATATCCCCCGCCCCCCCCTTAACACAAGCAAATTCCTCTTTATACTATTTCCCTTCATTTAAAAGTCCTATTTGACATCTGGCTGAAGTCTCCACTCAGCCCATTTTGTACTATGAAACAATTCTTTTCAGTTCTTTGCTTGGGGCAGAGGGCAAGGGGATGTCACTCAAGACCAAGAGGCAGACAGAACTCTTTCCCCTCCAGTTATAACCTGCTCGTGATAAACCTTGAAACATTTTGGCTCCAGATAATCAAAGCCACTAAAATTATGAAGTTCATATTAGTTTTCTTCACTTCAAATTACCACACTATACAGGAAGTTTAAAAAATGTTTTAAAAATAAAAAAAATTTTTTTTTAAACTCTGACCCTGATTAACTCCAAAGAGCCATAAACATGGACTCTTTCAAACTACGAAACAGTCTAGAAACTAAGACTTCCCTTTTACAACATGGTCACCTGCTATTTTCTTCCCCTAGTGGGATTAAAGCCTCAGCCTCATACATGGAAGGCATGTGCTCCACAATTGAGCCATGGACCTGGATCGCAGCCCATTTTTTAAGGTTTGTGTTTAAATCATCATGCATTAAACTGACCAGCTCTATACAGTTCTGCTACCAGCCGACAAAAATCAAATTTAAATGGCATTAAGACAGATCAGTCAGCTGATCGCTGCTGTCACAATCAAGTGCTCTCATAAGAAATTTATTCTATCAACGCTATAAAATATTTATGTTAACAATCTCAATCTCAATGAGATTTTAAAACAATTAGAGTAGTGGTATTCTTAATTATTACTGAAAAGCAAAAACATTCTAAAACCTGAAGTCAATCCTCATGTATACTAACCACAATGTCAGAACGAACAGTGTATCTTTTTTTTTCTATGTAAAAAAACTGTCTACAGAGAAGAATGAATGATAATATAACCTAAGACAAATGGGAAACGCACTGTAATTTAGACTACTACCCAAAATTCTGAGGGTAATTTTGATGTAAAAACATATGGGTTCCTAAACACAATCAAAAACATAGCAAACTTTCACATTCAAAATAATCTATCCCAAAATAATAGTGATAGCACTCTTCACTTTCCCATCTAGCCAGCAAATGATAACATAACTTGAATGAACAAATGATTAATATATTTACAATAGCATTGCAAGTTTAAATTAAATCACATTTAAGTATAAGGCACAGGTGGTACGCACAAGAGTCAATGCGTTAAAGGTAATTTCTCTTTTTATTGTTTTGTTTTGGGGCCACACCCAGCAATGCTCAGGGCTTATTCCTAATACGATGTTCAGGAATCATTCTTGGCAGTGCAGGAGTTACCTTTTGTAGTGCCAAAATCAAACCCAGAATCTTAAGCCCAGTGCTACCTTTCTGACTCCTTTTTTCATATTTATACTAAAACCCTTGTGATATGAATAAATAAACTGTTTGAGATCTAAAGACCCTCATAACACCAGAACTATGTTTTCGAAATTTAAAGCCATGCAATGACCTAATGTTAAGCAATCTGAAAACA